GTATTTATCCCTTTGAGGTATGTTCCATTGTGTGTTGACGAATGTCCTTTTTCTTTGACATACCGATACTTGCTTTAGAAGATAAAAACTACGACTGAACGCTTATAAGCAGCAGGTAGAGAAAATACTCTTTTGGTCCGGCGCTTTGTGCATCAAATCACTGCGCATGCCAATGCAAGAAACCTGCGTCTTTCCTGCAGGCTGAACGCTGTTTGATGGAAGTCTTTCTGCGGCTAAGAAGTTTATAACAATCTCCAAAACGTTAGTCTACTAATCGAAAGCTAAAAAAGCTGCATATCTGGTATTTTGTTGAGGACGTGTCCTAGTCAATATCACTTACACAGCTATTGAATATCGTTTTGTGATTCGTCATCACTACGCAATTCATATGCATCCCACCAAGGTAGGAAGTGTGATTGTCGAACATAAAAAATTGCTCATAGTGCTGTGCTAGTTGCTTATGGCTAATGAATGTAACTTATCATGGTCAGGCTGCAATGATGTCCGCTTCAATATGGGCGATTCCGAGGGAACTTGATCTTAAATATTATCTATTACCTACTGATCAGACTAGCACTAGTCAATCATCACTGTTCCATCCCTCTGGGCTAGTATGTATCCGGAATCACTCTTTATAATTACATTAACCTCATACTGATTGGGCTGGGGCCGATTTCATTTTCTCAATAGAAGTTCTCACTCTTAGGAACGTACCACCCCAGAAAGTTGTATTAAGGTAAACCGACAGTGTCAAGCCGCAGTTTCAAACCTTTTTGTTAGTTTATGAACTCAATCATGAACTAACAATTCGGTCTGCGTTTACATGGTTATATCCTTGAGATTATAGTTTATTCCGCACGTAGCCATTATTGCAGGAACTGCCAGCGTATACCACCTCAAAATTGAGTACTGGCCTTAAACTGATTATCAAACTTTAACTCCATTCAAATAATTGAGAACGAAGGGAGATGGTTTAGTATATTTTACGGTTCTATTACCCTTTACAAGTTGGAAACAGAGCCACAGTTTTGCTAATGTGCTGGTGGTTGCTGTAACCCATGTGTTCCACAATGATCCTATCGATGACTAACTGCTTTGTGTACAGTGCAAAGATTTTGACTCAGGTTGGAAGAATTTTTCCATTTAATAATTAACACCAGAATAAAGAAGCCCGATTCTCCGTATGAATATTAAGTGCCCGTTTTGATTTTGCTTCATGCGAAGGTGGATTTGGTTGGGAACAGTTGTTTGTACTGAGAACTGTACTTCCTGCGATTTCATGCGCCACACATCGTTAGTTCGCCCTTACATGCAGTGATGTCAACGCCATAATTGGTGAAAACCGGGTGTTTGACACTTCCTCACTCAGAGTACAAGCACTCGGAAACACTGATTATGCAATAGAGCGGAAACAATGGAAATAGGAGTCAATAGATGCTTTTATCTGCTACGTAGCATTTCCGGCGAAAATAACCGTTTTGTTATTCTTTATACCTAAGATGTCGTTATAACTAATTAGTCACTTGTCAAGAATAAGTGCCTGGTCATCGCAATATTACAAGTTAACGACTACTACGAACAGAACTTGCTAGTTAGGAAAATTGGTACAAAATTAGTAAGATCAGTATTTAACCCAGTTTCTCACATTGTGAGAACGTAGCAAATTATTTAAACTGGACAAGTTCGCAGCCAAGTAACGTTACCTTAAAAGCGTTATTTGCGAAGCACAGAGATTAGAAGTGTATTTTGCAATTGTGATTCATGCGGAGTTTACCTTGTTTATGTTTTGTCTGTAGCCAATTAATGTTTGCTACACAACTGACATAACGTCCCAAAGCCATCCCAAGATAGTGTGTAGTGTTCGATGTAAGCATGCAGCTGAAGATCTAGCCTACCATCAGCCAGGGATGGGTATTGACTACATTTAGGTTTGGAGATGCTTGCTGTCAAGTAGCAAATAAACCCTTTCTTTCAACTTTATGATGTCGATTTTGGTCTGGTAGTTGTCCCCTTTACAGGCATATAAGATAGCAGACTTTCAGGCATTTTGTTGCATTTTCTGTGCGCGTTTCCGCATGGGTTTGAGTTTCGGCATTTCTTTTACCTGTCATAGAATTTTCCAATTGTATTTGTATGCTAATGGTAACTTTGGGATATGTTCGGCAATCGCCACATGACAGTGAGTATTTTAATGGTGAAGTACCATTTATCCAAAATATTTTCTCGGATTTCTTACTCGCTAGATATCTAAGGATTTTGAATGCCGTGGAACAGGATTGAAAATACATCCTTTTTATATTTATCCTGGTTTTCAATGTTTTTCTGTTGCTCGTTGTATGCGAAACTTACGCAGATGCGCAGATGTGGTCTCTTGGTTATAAGGGTGATACTAAAATTCTGCCCTTGCCTCTTCTCTTGACTGAAGCGCTTTTTATTTTAAACGTTTAATTGACGGACAAGAGGCAACTTACTGACCCGTGTAATCTCATGATCGCTGGTTCTCATCCAGTTTGTTTTTGATACAGTTGACCACAAAATCTAGCACATTAAAGGGCTTAATATCTAGAGCTTAAAATGCCGCCTTGTGTTCTTCTTTGACTGGGTTTATGCAATTGCTTTCTTTAGTGGTTCAACAGATAGCATCCCAAGCCTAGCTAAATACGTATTGTATGACTGCGGAGCGCTAACATGAATAGTGCCTCTAACATGCGGGTGGCAGTAACGGAAACTCAGTGTTATGCTATTAGCAGTATTAAATATAATGTGATGGCTTTTATGAACAACATAATCAACCTAGTATTAGTATCCACCCCTTATATCGGCATAGGAGTCACCGGTCTCAATTTGCCTAAGCCTAGGTGCTTAATTTTACGGCTATTATGACGACTGTGTTCTGAGGTAAGGCGTGGTTTTAGACACCAACCAAGAGGTTGAGATCTGACCGGGCCAAATTGCACATTTGATACCGCGCCTGATTGCTACACAGTATCTGCCAATCTTTCATACTTCCGCGCCAGCACAATCATACAGGTGACGAGTGGAAAAGCGTACGCCCTGTGCAGAACCAAACGTACACCGCAGTGTCAATATGCGTTTACCTAGCTTACAGCATGGTTGGTGTATACGGCAACAAGTTATTCAGTAACTCTGGGGCACGATATGCCGGTTCATGTACAATTAGCGCACGTTTGCACAAAGAAAATGGTGTTATCGTTGTGCTTTATGCTTGATATTCCGTGGACAGATAACGTATGCCAGAACGGTGACCGATTCTGATAAGGTCTGGTAAATACGGTGGCTATCCAAACAGCCTACTCTTAAACCTAGCTGAGTTCTTTTTACATTGGCACACACACAAGGTTTTCCATCCTAGTATTCTATTAGGTAAGCGGAAACGGGACTTAACGCTGTTTCACGTTCTTACACTGGCTTCTATTCACACGTTTGTTAAAATGCGCAAAATTTAAAGCGACAGGGTGCGTAATTTTTCAGTCTGCTACCAGACCAGTGGGACGAGTGCGTCAGAGTGGCGTTCAATAAAATTGTACAAGGCAGCATCGAACTTTACATACTTGGCAGATGTTCGTCAACCGATGTGAGCCGCACGTTCGTGCTAGGCTACGTGCGGTGAACGTAAATGCATAGCTAGCTGCTTTGCAAGACTGGCAGCGGCAACAGTGCCTAATATTATAGATTGACTTTAAACGGTAAAAGATGGAACCCTTGGAATTTGGTGTTTCAGTAAGGTTAAATGCTCGTTTTTAAATACATCTGAAAATTTCAGCTTTTGAAAAATTCGTTTACTGGGCTGTGGTTATCAACAGTGCTGTACTGGTCAAAAATACTTCAAAACAGTGATCATTTACAGAATTTGTAATAATAATATTATAAATAAAGTTGCTATTAATGTAACATATGGCAAACCCAGGGGTGATCCTTGGTAATAAAAGATGCATAAATTTTCAATGAATTTTGATCTATTGACGGATCAATGCAGTAAATAAAATGTTCCTCAACAGAATGGCATAGGATTTTTATAACGCGTCTAACTCTCTCTGTGTGTCATACTTGCATGGCGTTTTAAAAAGAAGACTAATTTTTAGTAAGGATGCTTCTATTACGTCTTCATCATTGGCTGTCATCCAGTTAATATCGCTGTTCCCGAACTGATTGATGACTCTTCCTGCACGATAGACGGTTGATGCGGACTCAGACGTTTTGAAAAAAGCGAAAATATGTTTTGTCGAAATCTAATATGTGTTTTTGAAAATAGCCCGCTTAATCGGAAGGCACTAAATGATTTTCATACGTATAGACGGTTTCAACAATTATATTCCTGCAATTTCCCATGCACTATTTTCAATTTGCTTGTAAGCCAGACAAAATTATCGTTCATAAACATTATGATAGGGATTGTCACCAATTTAGGAAACACTTTATTAATTTGGCCACGCATAATTCACAATTGTAATCCCTGCCGAGACCTTAGTGCTCTTGACGTACGGATACGTAGGTAAATTTGGTTACTTGCTGATTAAAAGTTAGAGATTTTGTTAGCCAACCTGAATGGTAACTTATGTTGTGCAAATGAGCAGGAGAAAATGTCTGTTCAAGTCCATGTTATGTTGTATATCTAATTGGAAATGTTATGCAAAATTATAAATTGTACAAAATACTTTATGTTGCGAGGCTAAGGTAGGTAATTTACCATTAACGAACCATGCTGCTCAAAAGTCTAACTATGCGTTCGGTTGCCGTATTAATTAAGAAACTATCTTAAATAATCCAATAAAACTTATGGTCGCTATACGCACTCAGGCACACATAACGGAAATTTTGACCATAACGTGCAAAACCGACTTATAATCGATATCTTGCTAAATAAAACCCTTTCCAAAAAATAAAACAGATTTTATCGATGTCTCACTTGACTTCGAAAACAAACTTGCCAATGTGCCCTATATAAACGTGTAGTGAACGGATAACAGATCTCCGTTGTTCAAAATGAGAATTGCCTTAATTACCGTGTTTACTATTACAACACTAGTAATGGGACATCCCATTAACAGTAAGTGCTTCTTTGCCAAAATAGTATACTTTCATACAAAGATTTATGCTTATGTTTAACGCAACAATATTTTAGGTGTTATATCCAGTGAATTTCCTAAAATAGAAATTATAATCTACTAGTCTAAAGTTTTACCGTGGGATGAATTTTGTGGCATTTTAACATATTTTGCACTTAAACGAAGCAGCGTAGGATAATTCGCAATTATCTGTTAAATATAATGAATTAATTTGCAAGTTGCTAGGTTTGTGCTTGAAAATTTCAAAGAACTTAACTAAATTGCTGCGTAATTTTTCTGTAGTTGTGTAGAGAATTCAAGAATAGTATTTGCATTCGTAGCCATTAACTGTAAAATAGGAAGGTACCAAAACTATTTTAAACAAATTTTTGAATTAATGCTAACTAACTTGAATGTATTGTTTTTTTTAGTTTCAGCTAGCACAAAGCACGCAACCCAATAATTTTTATGGTTTATATTATTAGAGCGAATAATCATTGTAACGCAGCTCCAGCTAGACACCTTTATGCCTGTTGCTTAGGTTTAATTGTGATAACCTTTAATTGGTAATTGATCTTTAGGATGATCTGTTTAGCGCTACAATTGGCTTTAGTAAAACTCGGTTTGCTACTTAGGCTTGCAATCCAAAAACAAACAGCTATTCTTAATTTGCAAGTCGCTGTTCGTAAAAAGCTGCTAAACTTTTGTTATGAAATGTGTCTTATCGGTACTATCGAAACCAACATACTACTAAGGACATCCACTTTATTACTGCAATTAATGTATTACTTAATTGCACCGCTGAATCTTCTGTAAAATTAACTTAAAAAAGTAACAATTGGCAAACATCTGTAATCGTCTACTTGGAACATAGCAAAAGAATTGACAAGGAAGAACAAATGCATAACCTACCCACGATGCAATTCTTCTCGAATTCGCTGAGCAATGTAAGTTAGTCGTTTAATAAGCCATAGCCTGTATCCGCGCACTTAAAATACATGTGGTTTTATTAATAATTGCAATGAAATAATCGTTCATTCTCCAATGCTACAAGCCTCATCCCTGTGGGCACACTTACATCTTTGACTGCTATTAACTTGGAAACTTGACATACTAATTTTGTATTTGATGGGATATATTCGGCAAACTTTCGAGGAATGCAAAAATAGTGTTTGTTACAATAAGCTATTTTATGTGAAGCCAACCCGCAAGTAAACACAATTGATACAGGAGAAGGAACAACTGTGAAGTTAACCAATAGTTAGAATTAAATTCAGCAATAAATAATTTTCCTTAATCTGCAAGGTTTCTTCACTGGCGACGATAGTCACACTTTTAAGTTGACTGGGTAAAACCTGACTAACCCTAAAATAATGTAAGTAGACAAACATAAGAATTTGTGCAATTCGGAATATTTAGATATATTTATTTATTAGCTGCATCTACCAGTTGCTTATATGGAAATTGTTGTGTTCGATGCAGGAAACTGGAAATAATATATATGGTAATAAAATATCTTTAGGTTCAGATGACAACATATATTCAGACGTGAATTATTTAATGAAAGCTTTATAACTGCACGTGCTTCGATACAAAAATAATCAATCTGCAGCATTCAATCTAGATTATTATGAAGTGGTTGCGGTAAATGTACTTGTTTATTTCGGAATTAAGGTCATTTTATCTAAAAGGTTACTCTTTGAAGATTTTCAATAAACACCCAACGTGTTTATGTGGACTGAATATTTACAGGTGAGCAATGAGAAACCAGGTTCTCAACGAAAATCTCAATCAACATGCACTTCGACAAGGACACAATATACCAAGCACTTCGTCAGAATAAAATATTTTACTATTTTGGTACCCGGTTTAAAGCATATAACTTGGGTATTTACTTCAGATGTGTGGAAAGTGGGTAGAGGTCAGAGACGCAAGTCGAAATTGTTACTTTCATCACTTGCATATCAAACAAAATCGACGACTCGTTCAGTAAGACTGCACGTCGCATTCCATCGCACTGAGAAAGCCATCAAGCATGTGGTGAAACTTTAGTAACCATGCCGCGAAGCTTAGAGAGCAAATGAACAACTGAATAATTAAACCGAGCTACCCGCATTCTAAAAATTTTAAACTTGATATTATGTTAGTGTACATTATGAGAAAGTACTGGTTTGATCGTCGCGTTCTATAAATGATATAGTATTCAAATGCAAATGCGCAAAACGAAAGTTTCTATAATGCTATTTTGTGCACATCCGAGCAACTATTTTACGCGTATCTAGTCTTCTCAGCACCTAAACAACTCAAGCACGTATTGCCCAACTGCACTACAGAAGATCATATATATGAATACTTTTCAAATGCAGAATAATTTGGCTTAACTCCATTTGCATTATAAGCATACTTACAGTGTTCATTCGTCCTCCGTACATAACATGCCTTTATATTTATTAATAAATTACAATCCATTAAATTATACAAGTAACCATATACAAAAATGTCAGTATATTCTGATTATAAGAAATGCAGTTTCTCAGAGGCTGGTGACACTGGTTTTTCATAGTTTGTACTTTGTTTTGGAATTCCGCACTTGCAGTCATGGAATGCATACTAGGAAGTGTTACCTTAGAAGCCACAAGATAACCCGGTTTAAAGTAAACATTAGGTAATTGAGTGACCATCCCTTAGTTTTTCTCTTAATAGCTGCTGCTGGCTTGCCAAAAAACATAAATGAGAGGCAAACTTATGAAAAAAACTTCACATTTGCAGCACAGTTTTAACTTAGAGAAACAGCCTCTACATGGCGTCAGGTTGCCTTTAATGTGTCGAACTTCCGTTTGACAAGCATAGTATAACGCTCGCCTTGTTAGTCTTGCGTGTTACGTGCGTCTACTATTTGTTTACAGAAGGTCAACGGAGCAGTTAATTGGTGGCATATTACTTAGTCCACAATAAGAAAATTTCCAAAATATATAGGGAAAACTCTTCAGTTTGCAACAGATGGAATAAGAGCGTTGTTCTAATAAAATGACAACGCCTAATTTAATCACTATGTCGTGACAAATCACGCAAAGCTGATCGCGGCAACCAAGCGTAATCAATAATTAATGAATTAAAATTGCACTCATTCGCACGCATCGTGATATTACATTGGGCGAACAAACGGTGGTACTTTGATTACTCTTCTCCACAAACAGCATATATTTAGGGTATACCGAATTTTCATATTCCCATATAATGGAGCCTTTTACATTTTTCACACAGATGAGGTGGCTAATGCAATACGGCAAGTATTCCGCAAGGTTATTAGTGCCGTGGATATGAACATAGATGGCCGAATCACTGAGGAAGACATTGATTTATTCATCGAGAACGTCGGCACGTCAATAAACGACACAAATGCAGAAAGTTTAGTTGATAAGGTTGACATACGTGGACAAGGACAGATTACATTTCACACACAGAGGAATAAAACATTTACGATTAATCTTTTGCCTGAATCTACATAACCGTGTACCTCAGACAATATTTGTGAATGTGCATAAATTTCAATTCTTAGCCTTAGCATGTGTTTTGTGTAATGCTATGAGTTTGACATGACCGAAATGAATGATCTTTATATATGAGAGGAAAATTGAATCCCAGCTGCACTTGTGGCGGGCCAGGAGTTGGAAGAAGGGACATGAGATTTGTAGAATATTTTATTGTCAGAATGCAGCGTACTCGCATGTGCATTCATGACGGCTAAGCAAGAATTAACTACGAATAACACTAAAGGTTGCTAACTTTCAGTATGGATCAGTGGAATGATCTATTTAACCTACTGTCGAGGATGGTCGCACGTGCACGCATGTCAAATAAAACAAAACTAACGGTGATTGCTCGGGTAGGGTCAGGCACTCACCGTTAAAGCCAACATGAATCAACTGAAGATCATAGTGTTCTCCATATGTGAAACGAAGTACGAAGCGAAGGTATGTGCATGTGATTTCGTGCAACTACCTGAAATGTATTCGAGATGTGTAACCTTTACCGGTTGCGACTGTTTCCACGGTTTTCAAAAGAAAACAATAGAATAGGGGGAAGGAAAGCACGGCTTGACAAGTCGCGCGCAATGATCTGCGTATGATACATAGCTTCAGCTAATTTGCAAGCAATCTAAAGCGCATAACTGTTGGCTTACCATAATATACCATTTTCACACACGTAAATTTGTATTTCCTCTTTCGTGTAGGTTATTTAGCATCGTTGCTTTTATGTCTTGTCAATATTGATTAGCACGATACATGTCATCTTATAGAAATGCTGCAATTCACCGTCGGAATTTACTGATAAATAACTGCTTTGAATAAAATAAGAACAAAAGTCAGAAAGTGCTCCATAACTAACACATTTTGTGGAAACGTCTCCTGCGGAATTTTAGCCAAACTTTTCTTCTAATAGTCCTTCAGGTTTTGTTGACCCTAATTAAGGAAAGAGGCGGCAATCAAAAGCACTGTTTGTCAAATGTACTATATCAATATGAGATCACATAATAAAAGGTAACACAGTCAAACCCGCTTTAATACCTACCCGGTTTCTAGCCCACCCCGCTTTTTTGACCAGTTTTTCGATATAACTTATCTGCTCATAAATGCGCTAAATTTTCACCATTTTATTTCGCATCGCTGGGGTGGTCCCACCGCTTAATTGTTCAGCTGCTTGGGTTACGCTCTTGTTATTTTAACAGTTGTATAAACTATTAAGGAAGCTTCAAATTTGTTGGCAAATACGTTGCCATTTAATAGCAGAGATGCATTAGGGTCGATAAAGTTGAGAGATTGGACACACCGCAGTTGTTTAGTATGAACGGTAACCAGGGCATTTGCAAGAACACAGTTCAGGAAGCAGATTGTTTAACTGAGGAGCGCCCATTGGATACAGTGGTAACAGTTGAACGAGTTCAGTGGAAAGTGTGCGGGATATGCCAGCCGCGTTGTTTTTGAGTTCCACTATGTTCTGATCTGCGCGGATGGGTGGACCCTTGCTGGCAGTTTCCATAGTGAGGCCTCCGCTCTGAACTGAGTTGCTTATGCCTCTGGGAAGTGACGTGTTGTTTGGGACTAACAGTTTACTGGTACCAGTGAAACACGGATGAGCCTTGTAGGGCTGTTTCAGGCCTGTAACCGTTATATACCTAATCCAATATACGAGCTACCTAAACGAACAGACGGCTAAGGGAAAACCCTTGGTCGTATGCAAAACTCGAGAACTGAACAAAGTCGGGCAATCTTTACGCTCTACGTTTGTCAGTGGTCTGTTGCGTACACTCAAGTATGATCAGCAAATAAAAGGATTTGTCCTTGACAGAAAAGTTGGACATTTTTGACGAAATTAACATGTATCCACCAAGGACATCGCAGGCCAAGCTGTCGCAGGATTTACACATTTCTTGTCGTACCCTAGCCAAGTAGATTGTCAGCAAAAAGGAACTCCGGCAGAATCTGCCCTATGGCACTGCATGCTCTCAGAAAAGAAATCGATTTGGAAAGGATGACGAAGATAAAACTGCATTGAAAGGCTAGATGATACCGGTTCGTGAGCACAAGCAAAACATCCCAGACCTGCTTCTGAAGAAAAAAGCAGAAGAATTCAAAGAAGAACTTGGAAAAACCTTGACTGTCACAAAAGCATGTAGCAAAGATGGAAGAATAGAAATCAACTTGTGCAGAAAATGGTGCATGGTGAAATGAATTTCGCGGACAGAGCTGTCTGTGAAAATTGGCTAACAGATCTACTATCTGGACTTTTAAATGCAGTAAAATGCAGACTAAACAGGTCTTTCTTACTGAGCAAATTCAGAGAGCTGTTTGTGTTTTTCTGCCGACAAGATCAACGGACCAAAAATAGCAACGGATAGAATTACTCTTCTGTGCCGCGTAAATATATCAGACATGGATAAAAGCAAACCTGTTTTGATTGGAAAAATAGGAAACCACTATGTCTTAATGGCGCGAAGGTGGACACACTTTCCGTAACCTATAATGCTAACACAATTGCGTGGATGGTGAAAGCACTCTTTACCGGGTAGGTCCAAAAATGAGACAAGAACCTGGGCAAAAGTGGCCGAAAAGTTATTTACTTTGATATAACTGCACAGCTCATTCAAAGGTAGATCTGCAAATCATGCAAATGAAGTTTTTCCCTACAAACAGGAAGAGGATTCTTCAACCAATGGACTGAAGTGTGATAGTAATTGTGAAAATACATTAGAGAAAGGAACTTGTGGACCAAATTCTATATAATATCAAAAAAACAACGTGATACCGCTCGCATCCTCGGCAGTGGAAGTCAGCGCCAAGATTTCTCTGCTCTATGCAGTTCATTTCGGTTCAAATTTGGAAGCAGATTACCGGTTCCTTAATAAAGGTTTGCTTTTGGCATGCTGGCTTCAGTTGACTGGCATTCGATGCCTTTTCTGATGATGCCTTCATCGCTAAGGGCGACATCAGCCCTTGCACATTCCCAGACATTACCGCAGAAGCGTTCGTCGCGGTGGACAACGATGTGGAATGCACCTCAGTTCTGACAATTGCTAAAGATGAAATCGTCGATGAAAGTCTATGGAACCGACTAGAACTGAAATAAGGCAGCGACTGAGATAATGACTTGCCGGATTCCTCCGTGAGTCACAGCAACCAGCGCGTGCCGCATTCAATGGCGAAGAACTGTGTGAATGGTCTGTATAGCTACAGAGTTTGTATTAGCCAGGCAATATTTATTGTGAAAATTAGAATTCACCATTGCAGAATTGGCTGAAGTAGCAGTTCGAAATAATGTACTCCAAAAGGATTATTTTCTTTACAAATATACATGGTAGTGCCATTTGCTACAGCTATCCAATTAAGATGTGTTTAATTTTAAGTTATAGTTCATGCGTGTAGGGGTTGTGATTGCGGTATATTTTATAGTTGTTTTTATTACGTCCGTTACCGACAGTGATGTAAAAATAGTTTACTTTCACAATTTCGGAATGCAACACCTGCAACGCGCTCGGGTCGTGCTGGTTTCGTTTGATGCTACCTTTGCTTGTGCGACCGCCACTTATTTCCAGTAGTCGTATTTATGACTTCAAATGGCTAGACAGCATCAGAATAACGGTGACGAATGTAAGAACAATCAGGGTTATGCTTTATTATTTTTATATAGTGCGCTTTTGCATAAGATCGCCCTTTGTCCGCGGACTTGAGGTTTCTACCTACCCGACTTCTACATGCTCTTTTGAATGAACCTCTTTTGTAGGCTTCAGTTAAAAACACGTATTTGTCCTACTTAGCACGTTACAAATCAGTTATTGTACTGTACAATAACGCCAGGGCCGTTTATTTGCATACCTTGCTTTATTGACCCATTTTGAATCATCCAGATGGTGAATAATACAGCGGGTTCAACTGTAATCTCCACTGTATAAGCTTAGTTCTTTTAGTATTAATGGATATATTGTGCCTCCATGTTACTTTTAGCCAGGTTGAGAAGTTCAAATCATGTACACCGCAAGTGGCCTCACATAGGCCTTATACATTTTTGGGAAGATGGAGGGTTTGAACTACATTGGAATAACGACCATAAAAGCAAGCATTTTGCTTTCGCTTTAGGTACACCACAGATTGTTCCAAAGTAGTCGAGGTCGTCTTATGTCACGACCACGAATTTACGCTCATGTGAGGCCGACATTTATTACGGGACTTTAATCTAATTGTGATAGAAATGCACTCTGGTATACTACTTAGTTTAACGGTGGTATCTTGACGCCATCAGTAAAATGTAGGAAAACTGTTTCAGTGGCATATTCCAGGTGATTAATGGAGATTAATCATATGTGTGGTCCCAACCAGCATACACATTTTGTGGAGCACATATTTCCCTCCAACATGATCGAAAGATGAATCTGGAATCCACGCTACTATCGTGTGCTGAGGAAGAAGGTTTCTGCTATATCCGTGAAAAATTTTCCCAATTCCCCAGGTTTGAAGCTTTTGTAACATTATTTGGGGATCTGAGCAGTCGAATGCTTTGAAAAAACCAAGAAAGCTGACATTTGTTCCAGTCTTAGCATTCTACATTTCGGTCTAACCGCCAACTGCGATTAATATTTTTCTAATAGATGGCCGCTATTTCTGAAAGTAGGGCTGCTCCCGTGAAAGAAATAAGACCGTTTTAAATTGCTCATGTGTGACGCCACTTTGATCTGGTCTATCATATCGGCAGCATTGAATTGGAAATAACTGGGCGGTTGTTGCGGAATTCTAAGCTATGTTTCCCCAGGATAAAGACCTGATTTAGGTACACGAATTTTAGAAACGACTGCTATAATGGCTCGGTTAGCCAAGCAGATTATACCTGAAGTGCTTAAGCAAGAGTAGTGGCATTACTGATTGAACCGCAAGTGCACACTAATAACAGCATTTTTTTACTGTGGTTGGAGTAAAAGACACGACGGAAAGCCTGGTGTTTAAGGCTTTGAAAGTAATGCAACATCTAGTGCTGGGTCGTCGTAACATTA